CCCCCCCACACATACCCACACAGAGAATGGGGATGTGGTCACAGGGCATGGTGCTCATTTGAATTTCCTGGGGCACAAAACTAAACAAGAAGGAAAGTGAAAAAACCTGTAGCTGGGGGAGCTGAGACTTCTCTTTCTGTCAAAACGTAGGAAAGGCTATTCTGCAGAGCTGGTATCTATGGGAAGATGGTGAATTAACTTTGTCTTAACCTATGTGGGATGGAAGCAGGAGCCCATTAATGGCCTTCTTCTAGTCAAACCGTCTCTCGTTTGGTATCTGTTCTTCCCACCCTCTCTCTGGTGAAGGCTGCTGTTGAAACCCACTTCCTTCCTTTGCTTTGATGACAGTGTACTTGTGACACTTCCCACCTTCTGATCTGGTCTTTCCAGAGGTGTGCTTTCCCTTGCATTTCCTGCTGTCTGACCCTGGCTGCCCTGTCTTCAGCCCTGCTTCAAGGCCTACAAGATCCCCCTGATTAGTGTAGTAATGTTTTGTGATTTTTAAAAATGTATGTAAATAGGATACTACTCTATATAATATTCAGGAAGTTACTTTTTTCACTTAAAACATTTTCTAGAGTTATAAATGTTGTTAAAGTTTGATTTAGTTCATTTATTTTAACTGCTATATAATAATCCATTGTGTGAATATATCACAATATATTTTCCCCCTGCTCTCTAGCCTCCCGAGCTGCTGGTCACTCCCTTTTCACACCATGTTATTATGGTGGCACTACCTAGGATTCTCGAAATTCCCCAACTCCTTAATCTGGTTGCCTCCACTCTTCCTATAACTATCAGTTCACCATATCACCTCTGCTACCCATGGAAATATGATGATTCTCTTTTAAAATTCCTGACTCCCCCATTGGATTATGTCCTTCTTTATCTTTATATCCCTAGCTCATAAGTCAGTGCCAAGCACACTGTGGGTGTTCAGCAAATGCTTGTTGTATGTATTAATAAACTGTGCTCTGCATCCTAGCTCTTGAAAATGCCTCTTCTGGGCCAGCCGAGTGGCTCAGTTGGTTAAGAGCTCACTCAAGAGTGCGAGCTCTGAGCAACAGCGGTTTGAGTCCCACCCAAGCTGAGCTGCCACTGAGCTGCCAACAGGTGGCAGGATGGCTCAGCTAAAAGAAAATGCCTCTTCCATCCTTATTGCCCACTCTGTTCCTCTGATCTATTCTGTATTCCACTGCCCCTTCCTTCTCAAGAACAAACATTAGTCCCTAAGGCCAACTGCATCAAATCTGGAAGCCTCTGCAGTGGCTTTTAAGACACTCCCTAATCTGGCTATTGAGTATCACTATTTCAATATATTTGTCTTTGTTGTGATTTTTAAATATGCAAAAAATGTGCACTAGCACACTGGCATCAAAAATATTGTCTTGATAATTTTGGAATTCAGTTGTAATTGTTAAATAGGAACTTTAAGCCTGCTGACACATTTTGTCAATGCCTGTAAAGAAGTGATGGTGTTTTCCAATGCAGAAACTGGCTATCCAGGCTTTCCCTCTTAGAGGTCTAGTCTTTCTCACAGTTGACCTTGATATAATTAGAAACACTATCTTAGCTAAAAAGAGTGTCCGGTCTCCTGCTTGCCCCTTGGGGCAATGGCATTCTGACATTAAATTCCCTTTATTGCACCCAAGTAAAGGTAATCGATCTACTGAATTAATGTAAGTATTTTTGTATGTGTCTGAATATATCAAAAATTTTCCTTATGGACAATGATGAATTCTAGGAGTAATTAAAACAGCATAGGGAATATCAACGGCTATTGAAAAGTCTAGTCAGTCCCCCTACCTAAAATCCATCCATCCGTCCACCCCCCCACCCCCCCATCCCATATACATCCAGGGTTATTGAGATGTATCCTAGTCTTATGGGACATATACCTTGGCCCAGCTAGCTCGGATTCTTATTTCAACATGTTCATCTGCCCAACCTTTCCTGACTCTCTATGGAATTTGTGCTTAGACGGATCATACTTCCTGCTCTTGTGACTGACCTGCTTATTAGTGACTTACTAACCTCTGTCCTGGCTGTTATATACTCTTTGATATATATTTCAGTGAAAGACTTAGAGAAAGGGAAGCATATAGGACAATACTGCTGTACAGTTAGTGCTATTCAGGAAGGACAAACCAATCTCTTCCCACCTTGTCCTAACCCAGTGCTTCAAGTCCCACAAGTAGGGATTTTCTTTTTCACTTTGTACATGGTCCTTAAGGATTTTCTATTAAAATATAAAATTCACAGAAAATAGTTGTACCTTCCACCTGTGTTTACGAAATACTTTATTATGAATGATTCTAAAGCTAAGAAAGAAGAATGTTAAAAAGAAGGGCTATTGAATGCAAAGGGCCCATTTTTATCTTAAATTTCCAGTGTTCCCTAAGGTCAACTGTAGATCTAAGAAGTGGTTGGATGCCTGCCAGAAAGGCTGGAACACAGAGAAGTCTGGGGCTGGCAGTCACATATGCTCTCAAGGGGAAAATTCTCAGGTGCACTGTAGAAATCATTGTGAATAAGAAAATCTCCTCAGCATAGGATTTTTGAGATAGAAAGGACAACAAGAGTTGCTAGCCCAATTATTACAGATGAGAAGTTTTGGTTACGTGATTTGGCTAAAGTCAGTGGTAAATCCGGGAGCTGGTTGCCCACCTCATAATCTAATGCTACGTAATGCTTCAAGTGAGTCTTCTGGAGTCTTCTATAAATCACCTGAAGCAGGAGCACCAAGCTGGGATTCCTTTAACATGAAGCCTTTTCAAAGGATACAGGTGGTGTGGGAAGGATAGCTTTAAGGAAATACAGTATATATTCCCAGACCTTAACTTCCATATGCACTTTTCTGATGAGATTTATTTTTTTACTTTTGATAATTATCTATGAAAACATTTAATATTTTGTTATCAATGTCAATTTATTCAACTGTAGGCTAATAGTAATTGTAATGATGACTTAATACAAAATAAATTTTTGACACTATAGTCTTATGGTCACAGAAAATATTTAAGTTGCAATTTATATACATGTTTTGTTGGAGTGAAGTATGAGTGGGTGAAGGTTAAATTAATTTCAAGCATAAAACATATTACATTAAGATAAAATTCTGTGGTGGAAGTGAAATGGAAATACAAGTTCAAAGAGAAAGGAGAATGATGTAAATTTTTCCAACTATAAAAGAAAAGCCTGCTTATATACTTTTAAAATGAAACAAGTAACAGTGGTATTTAATTGCTATGGGATTTAGACTCCTTTGAATTCATTTAAAAGAATATTGTAAAATTTTTATTTTAAAACACTAAAATTTATAATACAGTGGGAATTACATTATTTGATGCTATATTTAAACTTAGGATGAAAATGTTTAGATGTTTATTGAAACACATCCAAAGGGTTCCATAGCTTTTCAAAGTTGTTTAGGGGTTCAAATGAAAAAGACTTCGAAGATCCACTTCACTTGGAGCAGCCCATAGCTAAGGTGGACCTGAGATGGATAAAGATTTGTAAATTCAAATGTTACAGAGGACAGGGAAGCTAGCATAAACCAGTAACACAGGTCTGGTGAGCACCAGACAAACCAAAGAGCTCATGTTCCATAAAGAGGCAGCCATTACTCAACTTCAATCAAGCAGTGTTGTGCTAGATTTTAAACACTGTTGCTAGATTAAAAAAAAAAAAAAGTTCTGGATTTTTATGGGTAGCTCTAAGTTTTTAAATTTTGGCTCAAAAATGCTAACATGCTACAAGGGTCAAACAAAACACCCTGTTGGGCCAAGCTTGGCCTATGAGTCAACTGTTAATCTGCTGTGGATGGAATGGCACATGGTCTGATCCTTTGGTTTGACCATATTCTCTGACAGAAAGTGTCGAGGGGGTGGTGGTGCTTGATTATTATAGTACCTTTTCTAAAAATAGAGGGAACTGATGTTAGAGACTGTTATTTTGGTCTTTTTTAAGTATTTATTTCCAAATGAGTTCAGTGAACTCTATGAAATACTAAACTCAATCTATAAGGAAGTCATTCCACACATTCCTGAACTGAATGCATTTAGTATTTGTTATATATATATATATATATATATATATATATATATATATATATATATCCCACATCTAATTTAATTATGCTGCAAGGATTCATTTTATGCTTCCATAACATCCACAACTGACCACTCTGCAGAGCTGGGAACATAATCTTCCCTGAGAATCATTTGCAACCTGAAAGCCCCTTTTTTAGTCCTAATGCAAATGAGCGTTTTAGACAGTTGTTCAGTCCCTCCTTTGTGAAACTCTTCTTAGTTCTCTTTCTCACCATGCTATGATCTCCTCCCTGGGGCCCTCTTCTAGTCACTTTTTAAATGTAGATATTATCTAGGATGTTCTTGTTTCCCTTCCTTTCTCTAGCTTTCACTTCCTCCTTCACCCCTCCCTTCCTCACATGTTTTCTTTTCTTCTCTTTCCTCCACTTTTCCATCAAATTTACTCATCCACATAGCTTCAAATATAAACTTTGCACTGATGCATTTCAAATCAATACCTTCAACCCTGATCCCTTGCCTAAGATCCTTCAAACTGGAATATTTAAGAGCCACCAGGCCTAACGATCAATAAGTACAAATATGAACTCATCAGTTTCCGCCTGCAAACAGAAGCAAATGAACAAATGCTCTTGATACAATTCCTGAGCCACCTGCTGAGAAGCATGGGCCCTTTGCCAACTGTCCCCTCAGTGCTCCTCCTGCATTCATCTTCTCTTTTTTATGTCCACTCCCCAAATCTGAGGCCTGAGCTTTATTCCCTTAGACAACTGCAATAACCTCTCATCCCAGCCTTTCTGACTTTGCTTCCGAATTTATTCTTCATACTTTCATAAGAGTTATTTTATCTCAAAAACCCAGTAGGTACCTGCCATTCCTCTCCTCAAAATACCTTCACAGCTCACTAGGTTCTATAAAAATCCCATTCCTTAGCATGGCATCTGAAGAGCATTTTAACATGCAAAATATCAGTAAGTGTTCTGCTCCCCCAAATGAACCTATCACTAAAAGTGTTCTGGAAACGCCTGGTGAAATTGAGTGACATGGGTTTCTTTAAGCCAGGGCTTTTTAGAGCGGCTAAAACGCAAACGTGAATTGTGACTCTTAGCCTAAGATGCTTCAAACCTACATTTTAAGACCCAAGAGGCTTACTGATCAATATGTCCAAATCTGAATATAGTTCCCAAATATACTCAGTCAGGGAATGCTCCTATTAAGGATGACTATGAATATCTCAAGGAGGGTGTACCCTGAAAACCAGTTGGGGAATGGCAATAAATTTTTAACAATACAGGTGAACTACTTTTCAGGCCTTTCTCCCACTCTATCATGCTCCACTATCCTCCACCCCGGACACATTGCAGTGCGTGTTCTCCCCAAGCAGGCCATGTACCCTTAAACCCTGGCTTTGGCTAATTCTGTTCCCTCAGCTGCAATGCCTTTCCTCCACTCTTTATTTATGTAAAACCTATACATTTTTCAAAAAACAATTGAGAGGGCTTAAAAAAAAAATCCTTGATCTCCTCAAGGAAATTACTAACTTTTTCCACTACTTATTTTACTCTTCCTTATGTCATGTTTGTGTGAATGTCTATTTCTTCAAACAAACTCTTAAGTTTCATATTCATCCACTCATTCATTCTCCAACAATATCTACAAAAGGTTTACCAAGTGACAAGTACTGTTCTGAAATAGGGATATATTTGTAGTACTTTTAAAATAATTATATCAATTTCAATAGGTTCATCTGAGCATGGACATATCTTCTTGCTTAGTTGTACATCTAAAAATAAAAAGTTCACTGAAATTTTCATTACAGTGACAGTTCAACATTTTTCCAAGGAAGAAGAAAAAAAAAAGAAAAAACTGCATAATTGATTTGAAAACAACTATCCATTGGTAACAGGTTGAATGAGGTTGAACTTATAGGGAAGAGCCAATGTACTACTATATGCGACGGCACTTTGAAAACTGTTGACCTGAACAAGGCTCATTATGTTTGCCTTTGAAGCTTTCTGCTTTAAAGATACTCCATAAGGAGGTCTCTTTGGCAGATCAGAGGCAAAACTCATAGTGAAATCCCTTCCAGATTGTCTTATGACACTGAATTTGTCTAAATAGTATCCTGGTGTTCTAGAAAGATTCCAGGACAGAGATATTTACATTTAGTTAGAGTATGCCTTTTTCCTGAAAGCAAATTGAAAATTATTTTTAGGTTGTGTTATATTTGGTGCCAAGAACAAAATATCCTAGAGTTAGGCTGCGATTAGGATGGGTCATGAGAATCAAAATGTACTGAGGGTGACTGATTGTACTTCTGCAACTTCATGGGAAGATGATATAAAGTGTAGTGTGTAGCAGTAGTGCCTATTTCTAATGTAGTTTGTGGGTTGACACATACCAGTTTTTAATGCAAATATCAAGTCATCAAACTCCTGGGACTCTTCATCAGCTATTAGTGACCCCTGGCCATATCCTCCAGAAGAAGGAAACGTGGTGCCATTTTGTGGACTTGGCTTTAAGTCAGGACTGGCCTGACTGGCTTGTTGGAAGGATCCTCTCTCCCAGTCAGGTGGTACCTTTTTGGGTTGGGGCAGGGAGAAAAGGAAACAATAACATGAACTCTGAAATGTATATAAACAATTTATCTCTGCATCTCATTATACAGAACAAGTGAAAGGCTTGTGGATTGTTGAGAATTAAGATCTTTAATTGTACCTTTGTGCTTTAGAGAAGTTATGTTTCACCATGAGACTATCTAATCTGGTGATTCTAAGTGATTTCTCCATTAGAATCAGTTGTAGATTTCTATGGTGTCATGTGTGGGGAAAGGAAATTACTTTTTAACCCAATCAATACATTTTATCTTTTGGTAGGATGTATGCAAAGAAAACTGTTAAAAATATAAGAACTGGAGAAGAACCCTCCTAATCTTTAAGATACAACATTAAATTTTAAAGGTTGCTGTCTATAAGGACATATTGAATCAAACAAAGAAAAGCTTCTCTGATAGCATTCTAAACTCTTCCTTTTTAAAAATTAAATGATTAAAAAGATAATTCTATCCTGAAATAATGAAATATATTCACTTCCCTCTTGGTTACTGGTAAACAACCCCTTAATCCTTCCTTTCCTAATGCTTTCCCTTCTCTGCATAGCTTTCTAGAATGTCTCTGACAGTCCCTCATTGACAGCTGGATCAAGGCCAATTCTAAACCTCTGAGGAATGTGGAGCACACTTTAGGGTATGCCACTGCGCAATCCCCCAAATGAACATTCAAGTAGTGGCTGAGGCCCAGGAATGGAACTGTCACAGCTGCTGCCTCCCAATATAAGGTTTCCTGAGTCACTGCAAGGATGCTTCAACTGAGAAAAGTGACCTGACAATTGTAGAAATAAACCTGAGAGAAGACAAACGTTAAAAAATTTCATTAAGAAGGTGATCATCTAGACCAACACTGTTCAGTGCAACTTTCTGGGATCATACAAATGTTTTACATCTGCATTCTCCATTATGGTAGCTGCCAGACACATGTGGCTACTAAGCACTTGAATGTGGCCAGGGTGATTATGAATGGAATATTTAATGTTACTTAATTTTAGTTGAAATTTACATTGCCCTACATTGCTAATGGCTATTGCACTGCATAGTTCAGATCTAGGCAAATGCTAAATTGAGTAACCTATAAAAAAAGACAAAAACAATTTCTTTTTTAAGATTCACTCCTGAATTGCTGATCCTAAAAATTTCTGTTTCCATTGTGATGAACTTCGATGTGAAAATAATTCAGTTTTAAGAACTTCTGGGATATAGAAATGGTACTAGGTTTCTAAACATTTATGGGTACTAAAGACATATCCGAATTTTTAAATATTGCATTAAATTTTGATCACTTATCTTAATTTTAACCTGACATGAATAAAATTACTTTCTATATTAACATGGAAGAGAAAAAAATATCACTGAACAGGTAGATTATCTAATTACCTACCTACCTACCTACATATGTACCTATACGCTGCTTCCTTTTCAGACTGATACACTTTGACTTCCTGCCATTTTTCAGGACGCAAACACAAATGCTGTTGCCCTTGGCTTTTTAATACAGAGAGGGTAGAATAGCTATGTAAGGAATGGTAGACAAGCACATCTTGGGCACTGTAGAAATTGTCAAGGACTTCCACACAACCTCTTCCTGGATAAATGTCTTCAGATATGTTTTAAAATCTGAGCAATGGTCCCAGTGCTATGGTGGCATTACTGACAGGTTGGTGGTAATGTGATTTAGACACAGGAAACCAAGATGATGTGGACAGAATGCGGAAAGCAAGGGGAGGTAGGTTTTACAGAGAATATCCTGGATAGATCTCCTGGTTGTGCTATTGAAGCACTCTTCCAAGCTTTCATTCTAAAATGTTTTATGGTATTTAAATTAAAAAGAGTTTCACCCTGGGCTGGCCAAGTGGAGCGTTGGTTAAGAGTTGGCTTGGGAGTGCGAACTCTGAGCAGCAGGGCCCTGGTTTGGATCCCACATGAGGGCCAGTGACACTGCCCTCTTCAGCTAAGATGCTGAACAACAGCTCAACCTGGAGCTGGGCTGCTGTGAGTCACTGGCGATGGCGTAGGCTGCAACAGAGCTCCAGTGGGCTGCCATAAGCTACCGTGAGTGCCTGGCAGCCAGTGTGAGCTACCAAGAGCTGCCGTGAACAGCCATCCAATGGCCGGCGACTGATCTGCCTCACCCGGGAAGAGCGCAATGATAATACCAACATGGGCCAGTGAAGTGACGTCCTCCACAACTAGACTGAAGAACAAAAGGACAGCAACTTGTCTGTTCCCCTTCTCCGATTCCTCAATGCCGTTTCCTCCCCCAATTCCCCCAATAAAATCTTAAAAAAAAAAAAAAGTTTCATTCTATTTTCTTTTCACTGAATGTTTGCTGGGATTGAAGTAGTGAGTTGAGATGGTGAAGGAAGAGAGCTGTATTAAGTATTTTTAGGAAGAATAGTATTAAAAAAAACATTTCTGAAGCAGATTCAGTCACTGTCGTGTGAAATTCAGAAGATTTTGAAGAAAGAGATGACAAAGTATACTCTGTCTGATTTCCCAGTACAGACTGCTGGTTAGAAGAGGTCACAGGGCAGGGCAGAAAATGAATTCAATAACAGGCATGATACCAGAGTAAGCAAATCAAATACCATAGATCAGAGGCCTTCAGTAGGATCAGGATTTAAAAGTCACGTAGCACCATTTAACTTGTACTCTTAATGAGATAGAAAGACCTTATATGGAAGAGAGACAGACAGAGACAGAGATAGAGACAGAGACAGAGACAGAGATAGAGACAGACAGAGACAGAGCAAGGGCAGGCACCTCCTCCATAGCACTGATAAGATTCTGGGTGGACTTGCTGATTTCCCCTCCAGCAGTAGGCATTCCACTCCCGGGTGTGAAGAAGGCTGTGCTGGGTCCCGGGTGCCCATTCATTTCCACTGTGTAACTCGCCTTCATGGGGCAACATGTCTGGTTGTGTAGAATGAAATAGACCACAAAAACATAAAGTCCCTGCAAAAGAAAAGAACACCAGCATGTTAAAGGAAGTCCTGCTACATAGCTGAAGCATAAACACTGTTGTAAGCACAACAATTTTCTATAAGTGTTCTCAAAATTCTACCCAAAACTGGGAATTACAGAACACGTTAGAGTTCTAGCAAGAGGCTACTGTACATTTCTGAATGTCATGGAAATGTTATTCCATGTCATCTGGGACAGCTGTTCTCTCACCCACAAATCTTTTTTTTTTTCTTGGTTAAAACATAATTAACTGAAATGTAGCCCTACTAATACACAAAAACAGAATTAGAGTAGTATATCTGATTGGCTGTGTACATTTTGTTTTAGAAAGCAAACCCTCTTGCCTTCCAGAAAATTACTGTGTTTTCCCAGATCTCACTTATTCTCATTTTTTTTTTTTCCTTAGCAATGGTTCAAATGAGGTACTAAAGCTCTAAAACCACCTTGTAGGCTTCTGGATGGGCAGCACTAATTAAGCCTTCTGATTTTGTTTATGTCTCACCTACTTTTCTCATTTAGAAATAAAATCACTGGGTAGAGATGCAGAGGAATTCTGTGGATTGCTTAATATTTAGCATACCTTGCCTCTCAGTAAATGTTACATAAGAACAATAAAGATATCTTGTGCATTCACAAAGATTTGCTGGCCCTTTAAATTCTTTTGCAATCTAGCTAAATTCTTGACAAATGCTCTGCTTCCATCACAGATAGCAACTCACTTTTGTATTTGTGTTCCCAACAGTGCCTACACTGCTGTGATTCATGATTTCTAACAGGGATCTACTGTATACGTCTAACGGTGCTTCTATAAAGCTTGTTAATTTTGACCTTTACACTCAGCCAATAAAATACATTAAATTGTGCCTGTGTGTGTTAATCCTGATGTTTAAATTTTGAAAGCAAATAAAAATCTCTTGAGTTATTAAAATTCTTAAATTAATCCACAAAAATGAATGCAAGACATCAACTTATTAAAGAAGAAAAGTTAAGATTTTTCATAAAACACAAATAAGTATCTTTGGACCGTGTAGTTTGCATTCTCTCATGGTTTCTAACATTTCTAGGAGTGTAGAAGCAATAGCGTACATAATATACTTGTGAGCTTGAAACTTATGTCAGCTGGTATAAATGGGAAAAAGTCTATTAGAAAATACACATGGCATAAGAATTACAACCAACTTTTAATATAAAATAAGACGACGGTATGAAAGGTAGGTTGCTAGCATTTGTTCTCTGTTGCCATTTCTGGAATACTGTTACAAATTAGGCCTTTCTCTTTCTGCTGTAATTGACCCCTTCCTGAGTTGGCATCCAGTCCACATAATTAACAAATATGTTTTAAAATCAGTGGTTTATCTGCTAAAAATATTTTTAAATGTAATTACTCTAATCATGACATAAATTTAATACCAGAAACATTTATTTCCGTTTGAATTATGGTCATTTTGTTTTTTTTGAAACAACATTAACATTCTAAATTATGTAGGATAAGTGAATTATTTTCATGTGTAAATAATGTTGTGAACATTAACAGAAACAAATCTTCCTGAAAACACACATACACATCCAAATTTTTTCTCGTACAAGTAATTTTTCACATGAGTATGACCTAATTACATTGGCCACAGCAATAGACAAAACAGGAAAAAAATTAAACTGTCAGCCTTAAAAATTGTGGGAATGTCACTGATTTATTTGTGGATTTCTCTAAGTGTTACAAAGTGATAGGGTAAAAGCTAGATCAGAAACAAAAACCCTGCTTTAAAATCCATCTCTAAGGACCCATTTGTTAAAACAGCACATTCTCTCGTTTGTTTTTCTATCTAGCCTTTTGTGCTTCAGGAAAGGAACTGACTGCTGAAAATAACTTGCATGTGAAAACTGCATGTTTTTTTTTTCCTTAAAAGACTATTTACATATGCAGTAAATACTTTGAATCTTTTAGATGTGCCCCAGGAAACATAAACAATGTTAAAATGGAAAGAAAAGGATGTTTAAATGAAGATTGTATGACATTTGCCTGTATCCGGCCCAGGCAGGGCAAATTTAGAAAAGGGACCTTCATTATCCAAAGTACTCAACTGTGGAGGTTTCTGACCTCAGAGTAAAAACAACTCCCTATTCCAAACACTGCATATTAAATCTCAGGCTCTCGTTGTGTCCTGGTCTGTAAAAGAATTTGAAGAGAAGAGAAGAGAAGAGAGAAGAGAGAAGAGAAGAGAAGAGAAGAGAAGAGAAGAGAAGAGAAGAGAAGAGAAGAGAAGAGAAGAGAAGAGAAGAGGGGGAGAGAGAGGGGGAGAGAGAAGGAGAGAGAGAGAGAGAGAGAGAGAGAGAGAGAGAGAGAGAGAGAGAGAGAGA